AATTTATATTTATCTTAACTTTAAGATATAAAATTTAAATAAATAAAATTATTAAACATTTACAATTTTATTAAGATATTTCTTCAAAATCTTAAATTTATAATTTATATAAATATTTGCACCTTGATGACTCATGGGAAATGAATTTTAGGAAGATAACATTTTCACTAAAAATTTGGTTTTAAACACATAAGTTCACCTGTTAGATCAAGAGTTACAAAAACTACACGTAACGTTAATGACCTTGAAAACAAGGAACACACTTAAGAAAGAACTTTGCACCTTATACAATTCTTCTAATCATTTAAGCATTGTAAACCAAATGTTTTACAGGAGATAAACAATTTTAACTTTTATTACATAGGTAAAGAAATATCCGTTTTTTTTTAAATTCAGATGAATAATTGAGGATATTGCTATATAACGATTATAATCCATTAAACAGAAGTTATTCCTAAACATATTTAGGGAATACGCAAAAATTGCTACGAAAAATATATTGGACGTAACGGTTACAGCGTCGCAGCAGTTTTGGAATCAAGGACAGAAGCATTAAATACCTCTATCAAGAACCTATATGTTTTCTGTAGTCTATTTCTTGGACTTAATTAATTATTAACAAATTAAGGTCAAAAAATGATAAATTTTAGCCTTTTTCGTCTATCAACAAAAAGTAGAACGTTTTAAACGTTATTAAAAGTGTTTTGTAAATGTTCCTATCCTTATTTGTTGCTTAGAAAATGGCAAAATAAGTCAAAAATTTCGGTTTTTTATAAATAATGTTCATAACTTTTTTTTTTAATAATAAATTCCAAACAAGTTGATCGGTCAAACAGTTTAAAAGTTATTTGGCTAGAAAAATAATTTGTTTTGACAAATTAATTTTTGTTTTTTTTTTCAACAATATAAGTCAGAAAATTAACTAGGTATATTATATATACCGATTCTAAAAGAAAAAAAATCATTCAATTAATATTATTTAAAAAAAATGAGGAAAAACGATTTTAAATATTGCAAAATAATTTGGCAAAAACATGTGAATTTTTTGCTTATAAACAATTAGAATACCTTTTTGATTATTAACTGCAAAAAACTAATTTGTTCATATTTTAACTAATTTAATGTCTATTTTTTATACAAATTTAAAAGAATTTGGTGCCTCTTTTTTATAAATTGATAGCAGCTCTGTTTATAACAATTAAGAAACCTAATTAGAGTCATCTGAAATAACATACCTTAAGGTTTTAACGTGAAAAATTCGAAAAAAATTGCATTTTAATGGAATCGTTCACAAAGCTTCAAAATTGTGGATCGCAAAATTGGTCGGCTTTGAAACTAGTGAGAGTGCAGAAGGGGGAAGGAGCTGTATACTGTATATCTGTTTCTTTATAGATTTCGACGTTACTTTTTTTAATTTGTATGTACCTCTTGCGTACATTACGAATATATATTATTTAAATAATTAGGTTGTTAAATAAACCATCTAATTTGTTTCAGTTTTTATTTTATTTGAAATATTTGAGGTAATTTTTATTATAAAAAACAAATATTTATGATTAATATATACATACATATTGTCTAAACTAAATATTTTATTTATAAAAGATTTAGTGAATAAAAAAAAACACATGATCCTATTCAATTATTTCTACTTTAAAGTACTTACTATAATATTATAATATTATTTAGTTAAAAATAAAAAATTAAATAAAAATAAAAATTTAACATTTTTATCAATGTAAAAATAATCTCAGTAAAAAAAATGTTTATAGCAATTAATTTATTTATTTATTATTATTTATTTAACAATTTTTAAACAAATTATAATAAAATATATTTTTTGTTTTAAAATTACTTTCTTCTAATACTTTAAATTATTCTAAGAAGTTATTCTTTTATTTTTTTTCGTAAAATACTTATTTTTTACCTTAAAATGTAAATAAACAATTAAAATATTGTTCTGAAGCTATTTTCTTGTGGTATTTTAAAGTATCTACTATTTAAATGGAAATAAGTCACAATTAAAGGTTAGAGTAAGTTTATTGACGTTTCAATTTCCTCTTCGGAAATTTTGTTTTTTTTTTTGTTACTTTAAAAATAAAAAGACAAATAAAAATTTAATTTTATCTGTCTTATTTATATTGACAATACATTTTAAAGTAGACGACTTTAAAATGATATTGCCAATATTGTTGAGTTGCATTTCTGGGACTTTACTTGTAAGATAGTTCATTCGATTACATGAAATCAACTTAAACTTGAGAATATCCGTCAGAAAAAAAATCATATCATGTAATTCGACTTTAAAAAAGTAAACCCATGCCATGATGACAGTAAAAATCTCCTGTTAGTGATTCCGTAGTTAATTATGAGGGAAAAAATGAGGAAAAAAACCTTATAATAATATCCGGACATGGTAAGTATTTGGTCGTGCATTTAGTTTATTTTCAATAAACACCAAATCCTGATTTTATATGTTTCTTATTTAAAAAACACAAATGATGTATCCTCTATATGTTACTGACTTACTAATACTGGTATTTTCGTTTTAATAACTTTCTCTTTTTATATGGTTTTCGTTACCTACTACATTCTGCCGAGGATTTTGTGGCAATTTTTCTCATTTATCATAACTAGAATTTATCTCCATTATTATCTTCCGATATATTTATGGAAGATTTTGAAACAAATGTTATTTCTAAACAAAATTTAAAACCCACAGTATGGTGGAGATATGTAGATAATGTATTCTCAATATGGCTTTATTGATCAGAGTTATTGGACACATTCCTAAATGATATAAACGATAAAAAAGAGACAATAACATTTACCATGGAAATGGAATATAATAACACACTACCTTATCTATATGTTTTAATCTCTAAGAACGATACTGGATATGAAACTCAGGTGTATATAAAATCAACTCACATATATTTAATTAATTTATAATTTTAAATTTCAAATCACATCACAATATTACTATTAAAAAGGGAATCATTAAATCCTTATACGATATAACCAAAATTACTTGTTCTAACGAAGATTCTTTCTTGGTGGAAAAACATTTGTTAACATATGGTTTATTAAAAAATGATTATCTTTTATCATATATAAATAAGGAATTTTCAACAACCGACCGAATAGAACAGAGGAACTTACAAGATCCTACAGCATAAACAAGGGATAAGACGAGGAAATTAACAATAACATACATAAAACGATTATCAGAAAAACTTAAAAGGATAGGAAATAATTTCAACATTTCAACAATGTTCAAAACACACAATGTTCAAACACATTGAGAACTATTTTCTCTAAAACCAAACCTAACAATGAACAAGAAAAGACAAAGAATCGCATTTATAAAATACCTTGTGATTGCGACCAGTTTAATTTAGGTAAAACATCAAGACCATTCAATGTTATATTAAATAAGTGAACATCAATATTATATTAAAAATAGAGAATTTGATAGATCTCAAATATGTAAACACGCATGGGATAATGAACATAGGGTTCAATAAAATGATTCAAATATAGTCTTAAAGAAAAGGATGGTAAAAAGAGAAGAAGCGCCTTTAATTATGGTAAATGCGACCAATTGTGTCGCAAATTCCTCGGCAGAATGTAATATATTATGGTTACCCATATTAAAAGAGGAAGTTGTTAAAAGGAAAATACCAGTATTAGTAAGTAAGTAACGTATATATGATACATTATTTATGTTTTTTAAATAACAAACATATTAAATCAGAATTTGGTGTTTATTGCAAGTAAACTAAATGCGCGACCAAATACTTACCATGTCGGAAAACTAGTATGAGTTTTTTCCCTGGTTTTTCCCTCATAATTTACTATAGAATCACTAAAAAGAGATTTTTACTGTCATCATGGTATGTGTTTTTTTTTAAGACGAATTACATGGTATGATTTTTTTCTGACGGATATTCTAAAGTTAAAGTTGATTTCAAATAATCGAATGAACTATCTTAAAAGTAAAGTTGTCCCAGGAACGCAACTCAAAAATATTGGCAATATCATTTTAAAGCCGTCTACTTTAAAATGTATAATGTATGTCTGAATTGTCGATACAAATGAGTCAGACAAAATTAAATTATTAGAAGAATTTTTCACCAAGTAACAAAACAACAAAATTTGTTTAATTTACTAATACGTATATTTTGAGAACAATTTCCGAAGTGGAAATTAAAACGTCAGTAAACTTACTTTGACCTTTTATTGTGGCTTATTTCCATTTAAATAATAATAAACAATTAAAAAAGTTATATAACTTTTATTAAAAAAATATTATATACATGAAATTTAGAAAACAAAAAAAGTAAGGCGAAAGTTTATAAAATAGGTTCAAAATGCGAATGATCTATCTTACAATAAAGCCGTCCCAGCAACACAACAATGAGTCAGATAAAATTAAATTATTAGAAGAATTTTTCACCAAGTAATAAATACAAAATTTGTTTAATTTATTAATGTTTGTATTTTATTCGTTTGTACTGTATCAAAATTTAATTTTTTATTTGAAATATTTTTTTTATTATTTTATTTCTATAAAAATTAAACATTTTTTGTTACTCTTCACTTTTTTAGGGGGTCCGCTCTTTACTTCTTATCGACAACCGCTGAGACTTTTTGAGCTATTAAGCATAATAGTTTTAAAAGAGTATTTTAAACCTAAACTATGTGAAACCAAAAATCATAACCAGAATTTTAAAAACCCGGAATGCACGCAATCTTAAAAAAGACAGAACAGATGACCAAAAACAATCTAATAAGCTAGATTAAGAAACCAGGAGTTAAAATTTCACAATTGAGGAAAACATTTGTGAGATACAAAATACTCATATCGTGCTTTAATATCTTAAGAATATAAATGATATGGGAATAACTTTACCAAAATATTTGCTGTGTGACAATTTTATAGCTAAATATTAGTAACAAAATAAGTAAAATTAAAAAAAAAAAAAACTCAAACTTACCTTGACTTTTTAAGTTTTCCAAGATGAGTGCTGCATTGTTATCAACCTTTTCTCCATTATTCCCTAAATTATTCCTGGCACCATATAATCTTGGAAAACAATCTATAACTTTAGTAATCCCTTGTTTTCGTTGAAAATCTTGCAATGTGGGTACGATGATGTTGTAAAATCCTTTTTCTACATTAAATGACACATCTACATTAAAAATTGCGCGGGCAAATTCGTTTTCTGGAATTAGTTTCGCAACAACGTGTAAATCTTCCTCTTTGCCGTCAGTAGATTTAAGACGAAGATCGACTTTTAACATCTCACTCCCGAAGTTATCTCCAGGTGCTGTGAGCCTTGTGATTTTTGAATCAATTACTTTTTTATCCCTGCCTATATGGTCGCTTATTAATTCGTCAAGTTTTTCAATTTTCGGTACAGCTAATTCGGCCATTTTAATTGGTTTAATAATTTTTTAGAACTATAAACAAATTGCGGTACGTAACTATCTCTGCTGATTTATGCCGCTATCTTTTTTATACTACAATATAAAGTTGGTATTCATCGTATTATGTATTTATTTTGCTCAAGGTTACTCTATAATTGTACGTTTAAATAAATTGAACTTTAACAGGCCAGGTATTATTGGTTTTTATGCTAAAAATTGGAAATATATGTATAAAAAAGATTATCTCAATTAACCCTTCTAGTCATGAATTTTTGTTTTTATAGATAAAAATGTTTTAATGTGCACTACAAAATTATTGATTTTTTTAAAGATTTTTGTAGCAAAAAAAATAGGTATCTTAGTTGACAGCTGACATATAAAATGTGCAACCCGTAGTACAGTGTGAGCCAAAGGCAAAAAAAAATAATTTAAGCATGGTTTATTTGAATGTATTAAAATTTCTTTTACCTTACTTTAATGTATTAATTGTATTAAAATTACTTTGAGTGATACAATAAAAAACAATTTTGTTTTTTTTTATACATAGGATTACTTTCCATGTAATGCAAAAAACGTGTGCTTTTTAGCACATTTTGGCAATTTACACCTGGTTTGGAAATGTGTAGGTTTATCGTCGAGGTCAGGAAAGTGTCCTGTACCATCTAATCGAACTTCTCTGATAGGTCCATATTCTTGACACCATTTTTTTGCTAGGTGGAGGAGATGAACTGGGTAAATTATCAGTTGAAGATGGTCTTCCAATCTTTTTACCCATTTGTTCACAATATATAAGCGCTTTTGCAATATACAAACGAAAATGAAATAGGTCAAAAGTATCTTTTTGGGCTATATTGAGGAACTTTGATTGTTCTCGATATTCCAGCCATGTGTTACAGCATGCCAAATCAAGAGCATGTGTAAACATTTTTAGGGTCCAGTTTTAGACCTTATAAAAGATCTATAAATACAAATCAAAAAATCTAATTTGTCAACGCCTCCCATACTGCCATTGTAATGTTTTATAACTTCTGGTCGAGGCACCATAAGATACTGTTTTTCTGTTTTGCCTAATCTCTTGCAAGTATCTTCTTCTCCTTTTGACTGAAAATTTGATTTTTAATGATTTCTTGTGAAAGTCCTCGTTCTTTTTATAAGCTATTAACTTATATGGTAAAAGTGGAGGTTTTGCAAAACCTTCTGCTCTGGAAGTACAGGAGGCATAAATATGCATGTTTTAAAGCCACTGCAATAGTTGGTAATTAGAAAAATAATTATCGAAATAAAGCTGATGGTTTGGATTGGTTATTTTTTTAGTAAGTTTTATTACGACAGCTGCATTTTGACCAAAATCTTGTTGATGAAGAGAATTTAGTTCTGTAGTACTAGACTTTGGTATAAAACGAAGTCGTAAAGTAAAGCGAAACTTCCACACAAGGCATACAGTTTTATACCTCATGGACACGGCTTGCTTTTTATTTATTGCTTAAGGCTTAACTGTCCCTTGAACGGAATAATTTGTTCGTCAATACATAATTTTGTTTCAAGTGATAATTACATATACCTTTGTCGTAATTTGTCGTAGAGAATTCTAACTTTCCAAAATTTCATCAGTGTCATTTGGTTCATTGGCACCAATAAAATGTAGATGGGTTCGTAATTTTGAAAATCTGTTGTACACCATATTATTTTTAACAACATTTATACAAAGTTTGCTGTCCCAATAAAGTCTTATACGAGGATAACTTCGACAAATATTTTTATTTCGTTGATATTTGTATTTATATTGTTGAGAAATATGGAAATACGTGCTTGGCGGAGAACAGCGATGGATATGGACTACTGAAAAAAAAAATTTGGGGAGGCTAGGACCCACATAGGGTTGTAAAGCCAAAATGATGATGATGATATTTGTATTCCCAAAGCGTGTATTATTTTGCTGGTGATAAAGATTTGTGTTTATATCAAACATAGTATCAAACAAGGTGTTATCAATAGTAATACCACTCTAGTGATTCAATTTTCGCGATAAGTCTGTCGATTTACTTCTAAACGAAACTGAGTTGCTTGAAAACACCACGAGTCCGTAGGACGAGTGGTGTTTTCTTTAAGAAACTCAGTTGAGTTTAGAAATAAAAGACAGACTTATAAGCTAAATTAAATCACGAGTGGTGTTTTATTAGACTATTTCATGAACAAAGTGATAGGTCAAAAATTCAGTAGAATGAGAGGAAGGAATTTAATAATAATACATTGGATCTAGGTAACCCAAATCTACCCATTTTTTGAATAATTCACAATAAGTCATAATTATGAAATATTTATTATAACTATAAATAATTTGTTATAATTAATTATTTTTTACCTATAACAATAAATACTTTGTACACGAGAAAAATACATTATTCTCGACATTATTATAAACGGTGCAATTGTAAAAATTTTGAATAGTATGACCGTTACTAGGTGGATACAATGTATTGTTGCCATTATTACTTGATGTACTTGGAGTATTCCTAAAAGTATTCACTATGTTCTGATGATATTCGGCACTAAGATGTAAATACGGTTTCATCGAGTTCGAACTTCCATGTCCAGTAATTTTCATAGCTTGTTGTTCACTAACGCCAAATTGTAGTAACTGACTAACTGCAGTGGCACGATTAGAGTGATTCATTATTTTCACTTTTTTAGTGTCTAATCATATTTTTCTGCAGATATTTTTGTCCATTTGGATATTGTATTAATACCAATAGGACAGTTCTTGTACCAATTACTATTATTATATTTATTCCACTTGCCATTCATAGTCAGAAAAAGTATATCATTGGTAATAGTTTCCCTTTTCGATATAAGTTTCCGGTATAATCTCACAGGACACATTTCAGGATTCTTCAAATTTTAAGTAAGAATTTATTATCTGCACAGTTTTTATTACCACCTTGGCGGGTTTTGGAGAATATCGGGTTATATGCAATTCTGTTTGTTAAATAGCCTTTGTTGTTAGTCTCTTCCTTGAAAAAATGTGTAACATGGAAAAATTAGCTTCGTTACCTCTCCAAGCTAATTCTACGGCAGCTATATAAAAAAACTTCTTTTGGAGTCCTTCTGGCGTGTCTTCGTCCTATTGTAAGCACATATTTTTATATTCATCCGAAGTCATAGCGACAAAACTCATTTTCCTTTTATGGGGTACAGTTTGAAACACTTTTCTCTTACTATCACGAGCCGCTCTCGCTTCCTTGAAGGTTATACCTTAGAAGAGATCAATATGTCTCTGATACTCACAGAAATATTTTTCTTGTACCAATTTTGCAGTAGTTTTCCATATGGTTTTAACAACACTCTCCTTGTAATCACTACCATCAATTTTTCGCATGTTGAAGGCCCAGTCTTTTAGAATCAATGCTAGTCTTTGAGATGAGTGAAATAGTCAAAATAATCATAAAAATATTCTATTGGTGATTTTAGGTGTGTAAGATTTGCTTCTGTTTTTTGTAGCCATTGTATAGTAGTAGGCGTTATGTATTCTACATTTTCTCACCACGTTATTTTGCTTTTTCATGCACGGTTGCATCGTTGTTGACAACATGGGATGCTGAGCTTTGCGAAGTGACACTTTCAGAAAATGCTGCCTCCAAATCATTTACTTGACTGTTAGAATCATTATCATTACCTAAAATTAACTTCCACAGAACTCTTCCACATCAGAAAGTCCAGCCTCTATAAACTCATACAGTTTTTTTTTCACCTAATGGCTTATTTTTGTTATACTTATTTTTAACAGTATATATCTGCAACAAAAAATAAAAAATACGTAGTATTTACAGTAAAAAAATGCACTGGTTAACAATTAATATTTAAATCAATAAAACAAAATATAAACTTGTAACAAAAAATTAAAACTTACCTTTCAATCGTTTTTTACTGCAAAAAATGTCATCCGAAAATTAGGAAATAAAGAAAGCAACAGTTTCTCAGGATACGAGGTTATCAACTGGTACTAAAGCTTTAAGAAGAAATCATTATTGGCTACCATTTTACTAAATGGGTAAATCTGCTATTAAGCTATAGATGGAACCACGCAGCATAAATCGTTCATTTAGCATTACAAAAGTGCACTTGTCTTCTAGTCGGTGTACTATATGTAGTACGCCATGAGCTAAAGGGTTAATATTCGAAATAGAATAAAATGTAAATTTCAGTAAGTATTTGTATTTATATTTAACCCAGTGATTCTAAATCTGTGGGGCGCACCCCCCTAGGGGGTCGCGGTATTATTAATGGGGAGGCGTGAGCCTATTCGAAAAAAACATCAACAACAGTGACTAATCTACTAAAATTAATGCAAAACAAAATTCTTACAAAATAAAAAATAAAATACAAATGAACAGTGATATAACCGCTATAATTATAAAGAGCACTGAACATTAAATTATAAACAAGTTTAATAATAAATCAGTGACTTCCTTGAGCTTGTTTTGTAGAACAAAGTTTATCTAAACGGGGTGTAATATAAGAAATAGACGTTCTCAGTTCTTTTCTATATTTAGCTGTGATCTGTATTTGGTCTTCAAAGCAGCCACCGCAGAAAATCCTGTTTCGCAAAGGTAGGATGTTGAAAACGGCAATAGTATACGGAACGCTCTGGTTTTCAGTGCAGAAAGCTCATCATTTAGTCCTGCCAGAAATTCAAAGAGGGATTTATTATTAAACTGTTACTTGATTTTTTCATCATTTGACCTAAAGTCAATGAAGGTTTCTTCTTCGGCAGAAGAGAGCCCTTCCGGTGTATGTTGGAACGGATCCTAACCTACTCGTAGTTACCTATTAATTTGTCATCAGCAAAAATATATCTTTTAAAATTTTTAGTAGCATCGCTAAATGATTTTCAATGGTTACAAAAACAACTTTCACGTGTTGTTCTTCAAACTTGTAAGTTTTAATACATTCATCAACATTTGCAAACATTTTTAGGGTTTTTTGCTTTAAATTTCTGCTCCACAATTCCAATTTTTTACAAAAACCATTAACTTTATCACTCGTATCCAATATATTTGTATTGGCTCCTTGAAGCTGGATGTTTAAAATTTTTAGTTT